ACATTTATCTTCTTGGAGAAAACCGATGCCTGCGTTTTTGTGGTATTGAATTGAATCTGGTTACTCTCACTCCAATTCGAAATCCTGATGCCGGTAAAGATATGCCTCCGTAGCCGATGTCCTGGAATGAGACGTTTGTTCACGAATGCTCCATTTTTGTACTCCATGGTTTCATCTAGTTGCCTTTTTCGTGTGGAAGTTGCAGTATATTGCATTTGCAAGAGACCAACGGAGGATCCGGCCGTCAGGATGAATGATTGAGTTTTTGTCGATCCCATTAACATGGCATCTTCACAGGGGCCGGAGAAAGATGTCCATGCTCAATTATTGAGTGTAAAAGTTCTATCTATCGACAATTGTATATATTTTGCGTACTGCCAAGTAATGGTCCATTTCTGGTGTGTCATTGGGATAAACGACAAAAAATATTCAACTCTAAAGAAAGTAGATCCTAAGAATCAGTATCTATTTATGAATAAATATTCAATCAACTATACCCAAATCTCTGGCAAGAATTTGTGTTTAAAAATTACACAACTTTTATAATCTTATGATGTGGGTTCCATACGCCATTAATAAAATTTAGCTTGCAATAAACGGAAGTATACTGATTTCATTTGATTTTATCATTCATATGAATGTCAGAAGCCCAGAGTTTCACAAGACAAGCTTATATTCAATAATTCAAGAAAAGCTCATCAATATATATATGCCAAAAATGTACTCTGGTAATCCCTTCATTATCCAAAGAATATTCAAGCTTGTTGATATGAATGACATGCATAGCCATATTGTGACATCATTGATGTGGCCAGTTAAAAAAAAAAACCTACAGAACTATATTTGATTGTCTAATGTCCAATGAAACATACCGAGAGCAGAAACCGATCCTGACCCCTGCGAGTTTGATTCAGTACCTTGTTTCAATATAACTGGAGTTTTTTCCCAACACCAAATCGTTATTTTTAACACCTCGACACGTGTTTCGATCACCAAGTGATCTTCAAAGGGGAAGATTAAGTTTTAATCTTCCTCTTTGAAGATGATCAGTAGTATTCATTACTACACCAAAGGTTCCAAACAGTGCATCATAAGTACCTTGTTTCAAGAGAAAACCGTGATGACGTTCTACAATTGACGGATTGGAAAAAGAGCTATTTATCTTTGCTTTTGTAAGAACAGAGGTTCAGATGAAAATTAAGAACAACAGCTGCCCCGTATAATATTTCTGTAATGAAATTATAATAGTACTCGAGAAAGGTCGTAATTATTATGTGCTCACAATCAAGAGGTGTTTTTTGCCAGAAATCGGGGAGCAAATTTGATTGTGGCAAACATATTTACACGAACATTGCGAGCAGTAATACTGAGTCTAACAAAAACGAACATTTCTTCAATATCTACTGATACGAAGGCTGATGAAGATGTGATGCATGGATTTTTCAGAAGAAATTGATTCTGAAATACCTACACATCAGACGTTACTAATCTTTGGCATTTTAGTGTAAAGTGATAAAGGATTTTATTGATCATAATTGTTCTTTGAGAAATCGGCAGAATTTTCAATTCTTTCATCAATGATTAAGACTATAGTAAGACCTAGAGGTCTTAAGGTTAAGAGACGGGACTGAAGCATTTTGTACAACATTCTAAGACGTCTCTCACCCGATTATCCGAGAATCCAGAATAGTTTAATATCAGTTCTGTACAAAAAATATGGTACCTATTATGTATATCAAAATGAATCATCATGATGGAACTGATGACACTTCAATTAATTTCATTACTTGAAATATCATATATACATTCAGAAAAGACACCAGATGATTTCAAAGTAGCTTTCGTTAGCTCTCTTTTTGACTGTAAAAAACAAAAAGAAACATCTTGTGAGTGGAGCAGAAGGGATATCATGATAAAAATTGAATCGTGGAGTACGCCAGAGTTGATGACAAAACTTTTCCGAGATAAAATTGCACAATACTGGTGATGTTTGCCACTCATGATCTGATGCTTTGAATTAAGCCAAAACCACTACCAGAAGGTTCTAGGTTTCTGTGTAATTTCACTATGACTTGAAACAAAGAGAATAAATAAATCGAAGAAGATGGAAGGTAAGGAAAAATTGATTTTAAAAAATTTTGAATTACTATAACAAGTGAAAACAAGTTCTGACAGAAATAGAAAATAACAAAGCAGACGTATAAAAAAAATAGTTTATTGGGAGGTTTTCCCTAAACATGTTTTACAAAAACGCAACACGTGTTTCGCCATGCAATGGCTTCATCGGGCTTCTTCAGGGAGTAAAGACACGCCTGAAGAAGCCATTGTAGGGTGAAACACGTGTTGCGTTTTTGTAAAACTCTAATGAAAATCTTACAATGAAGTGTTTTTTGAATGTGTTAGTTATGGATTTTCATCGGTCAATTTCATCTAATAAACAAAGCAGAATTACACCCATAAAAAAGCACATTTGGAAATTGTTGGATTCTTCGATCTAGGTATAGATCCATTCGAGATGCACTGTTTGGAACCTTTGGTGTAGTAATGAATATTACTGAATTTTTTCCCAACACCAAACCGTTATTTCAACACCTCGACACGTGTTTCAATCACCAAGTGATCATCTTCAAGAAGAAGATCAAACTGATCTTCCTCTTGATCCTCCAGTTTGATCTTCCTCTTGAAGATGATCACCTGGTGATCGAACTACGTGTCGAGGTGTTAAAATAACGGTGTTTTGTTGGGAAAAGACTCCAGTAATTTTGATACATCCATTCTCTATGATAAAAGCGATTCAGAATTCCAAGAATTTTGTGTTAAATATATGTGAATGTTTAGAAAAAGTGAGTCGTTATACATATTGATTGACTGAGTTGTGGTAAGTATATAGATAGGTATATCCCTAGATAAGTTTCATGCATGATGTTTAGGTTTCGAAACTACTCTTTTTCAATTTCAGAACACCACACTTTGTGTACCTATTGCACCTTCTATAGGTACCAAAAGTGCAATAAACGTCCTACGAAATGACCAAATAATGAGAAGATGAGTATTCGCAATGTTTATTCAGCTTTTTGGTTTGATGGCAATATCATCTATCGCCCGGTGTATTATTGGTAGAGAACAAATAACAGTGCTTTTTACCATAATTTCGTCACGCAAGATCAACACGGATGGCTCTAAAGCTATGAAACTAATATGAAATTATACATACCTATAGGTACGGTAATGTATTTATATTTCCCTACCAAAATATAAGATATTTTGTTGCATATTGTAGGTATATTGAGAACAGGGTCTTCTGACATCATTATTTACATTATAGTGCTGTTTAGACCGATAAAATCGAATGAAATGTTAGAGAAAATGGAATTTTTGGAATTGAAAAAAAATCATCTGTGATATAAATATAAATTAAAAATAATTCGGTTTTTCTTTCGTAGGTACCTTTATAGGAGTATATCTACATATGGCGAAAGTAATATTTTTCGTCTTCTTTCAATTGTTCGATAATCAAATATTCAAATCTACCAATTCAATCAAAATTGTGTAATTCTATTCTCAAATCAAACTGATGATTATTTTGAAAAATTCTTTCAAATATATAAGTATCCGATGGACTAAACAAAAGCCATGAAATTTCATGACATAGGTAGGTATCTTTTGGTGACAATTTCATCTACATGTTTTGGTTGGTCTCTGGATTTTGCCGCGGTCTTCTTTGTTTATAATCTCCAAACGTTTCAACTACAACTGCAATAGTCATCTTCAGTGGCGTGGTCATTTCAGTTGACACTTCTAGAAGACTACTTCAACCGCGTCACTGAAGATGACTGCCGCAGTTGCAGTTGAAACGTTTGGATATTATAACCAAAGAAGAAACCAAGAAACTAACCAAAATATTGACGCCAGCCGTGAAAACCTACATTCCAAAATGTTATCTACACTTTACAAAACAGCCGTGTGTTTAAATTATAATTCACTGGCCCAACGGTCAATTTAAACTGCCCAAATGAATTTATGTAGATACATAGATAGCTTATGAAACAAAGAGGTTCAATATAGAACATCATAGGTATAGTAAGTACTTACCTTTTAGTCGATTGGTGTGCGAAAAATCAACTTACTTTTTGGCCCGGAAAAAAGTTTTTACAAGCAATATCTATATAAGTACTTGCCGTTTTTCATATTTCAGGCGAAGTACTTGAAAAACCTGAGTATCTCAAAAGTGACACTTTTGCAAGTTTGTTACCAAATTCATTTGCTCTCTTTTTGTCCTTGGCAATTGTAATAGATGAATACTTCAGTACTTTTTTTAATGATATAGATATTTAGCCATTTTTAAAATATAGCGTATATGACACACGGGTGGTAAAGGATTTTTGGATGAATGTGAATATATATAATTTTTTGCCTTTGTATAAGAATATACTATTTTCGTTTAGGAATTGTGGCAAAAAGTTCATACTGTATAGATATATGGTATAATAATAAAACGAATATAAAATCTCAGATCCGAACAAAGAATAGGTTATCGTTTTTTTGTTTTTTTTTTTCAGAAACAAGAGCGAATGCAAATAGCGGGGTTTCGAAACTGATCTAGAATACCTTTGCCATTTCCGTCTTTAAATTTATTCATTTATATAGGCACTGAAAACCTTGTTTGACACGAAAAAAATTCAAGGCTTGAATATGTCTTGACTTTGATTCTATAAGTATCTATACAGATATCTACAGGTGGTTAATTTGACCACTTTTTACACTTGAGTTGTCGAAAACAACGTGAAGTTGTACACAGTATCAAATTAATAATGTGCCTTATTTCAAAAAATTTTATGTGCATGAGACTAATCCTCATTTTGACTTTTGTGCCTATAAGTAGGTATTAATTAACAAAATATAATGAAACACGTTCGTGAATCGTCGTGGGAACATGAAATATATAGGCATAACTGATAATAATGAAACTCCTGTAAAAATTAACATGTTTTGAAACCTACCTGTACTACTCTCTCCCGCGGTGGAATCGAAGGTCTTTGATGTCATTTGGAAGAGGGCATCCAAAGGTCCACCAGGCTGCTTCCCTTGTTGCTGATGCCTTTGTCTCTGTGCCGACGGAGCAACGATGTCTGGAGAACAACAGTCGCTGGCCACACTCGACGATCTGTCACTTCCAGTCTCTGAAGTGTAACTCACGTTAAAAGCCGCGAATTCTGGCCTGAGCAGAGCCAACTGCTGAACTTTCAAGTGTCTATGGAAATTCTCTAACCTTTGCTGGTGAGCCTCAATTTCAGGATCGGTGTCCCAAGGCCTCACGATCCGATTGCACTGCGGTTTCGAGGGTTTGTGGTTCAAAATGTCCACGATGGAAAAACTTTTCACGCCATCGGGCCGCTCTTCCACTTCCACGGTCGGTGAGATTCGTCTTTCCGCCTCAACCTCCACCATTTTCAGTTTTTTGAGAGGTTTGAAGTAATCTTCGGGGTCCTCGGGACATCTGCAGCTAGTGGAATAGGTTGGACTAACTTCCCTGGACCGATTCAAAGCCGGGCTTGGACATCCCACACTGATTTCATCGTCTGACATGTATTTCGAGTCATTCGGGTTCGAAGAATGATCCATGATGTTGGGACTAGGCGACCGGGATGAAATAGGGCTTTCGTATTTTGATCCAAGGTATGGCGACATTGCGGTACTCAAGTTTTTCGGCGAATTTCCAATATCTTGCATTGTTCATTTAAGCAGTCCATAAACCACTAATGGCCTCTCGAATAGCACATCATCATCACGGAACTCAAAACAGTTTCAGTCACTTATTCACAGAGCACTAGTGTTATGACGACAATAACAAAAAACGTCAAACGTTAATAAGGTATAGACAGCACGTGAAGTACCTTCGTATCTTTAACAGATCTGGTAACAAGTGAAGGTCTACATGCCAATCTACTCGACACAAGCTCTTTAGCAAGCCCCGCCCGCTATTTAATGCCCGCGCCAATGGAGTGCTAGGAGTAAAGTGACGCTCCTTTATAAAAATGCCGACGTATCCAGCGATTGGTCAGAGGTGTGGTACATGGCGTTTTGTTTTATGTGTCTGCCTACCAATCATTTGTCTAATTTGTACTTCGCCGTTTATGTCATTTGTTGGAGTGGAGATAAATGAGATTTTGTTTTAAGAGATTATTTAGCATGTGTTTAATGTAAATTATTTTTCTTTACGACTTTTTACACTCAACTGCTTTATAGTTGACGTGAATTCAGTTTATTTTATGACAAGGCAGCGTTAAATGAATTAATACCATACCTAAAAACCCATTCTTTTAAGGTAAAATATACCTACATGATAGATAAAGGTACATATCAAGTAGGTATTTCAAAGATATTTAAGCTTTCTAGACGTATGCATTTCTAGAATGAAGAGAAATTATTGACAAATAATTCCGTGCAAACATATCCACAAATTCAGCCTTGTTACTATAAATAACTTGATCAATTGATCAAGACAAGCGAGTATCCTGTTGGAATCTTCAGCGATCTCAGTATAGGGCACAAGACTGTTTTGATAATGAACCATAAAATAAAAATAATCAATCAGATTATCTGAATTGTCTCGGAAGAAATTAGAAAAAAAAAAAAATCCGCCGGTACCCTCGGCAATGTAATTACCGCCCAATTAGCGAGTATGTGATCTCACTTTCCATGCGGAATATTACCATGTAGGTAATTCTACCACGAAAAGAAATGTGGAATTTTTCATTGTGATTTTTCATTTTGAGTGTACCCATTTTCGCGATGAAATAAAACTTGATAGGCTGAATTTGCGATATAAATATCTATCGTGATATTATACTCTACCATAATTTTACAATGGAATTTTACACCTCACCATGATTTTACAGCGAAATTTCACATTCCAACATGTTTTTACTGTGCAAGTTTTCATTTAAAGGTCATTTTACCTTCAGATATTGCATTGTAAGTAGATAGTTACGTATTCTGAATAATTTCGAAGGCAATGATACATTAATCAGATGTTGATTTCTGTATTTAATCAAGAACCTCATATAGTATTTCAGATTTCATTTTTATCTTGCAACTTTAATAATAAACTTGAAATGAAACTATGTACCAAATAGACAATTTTCATTTATTTTCTTACGTCCATTATGAATCATTTGTTATGCATAAAGATTATACCTACTACTTTTTTTCTAATATTTTAATATCAGAAAAAAGGTGACATCCTGAAATTGAAGTGTAACATTGTTTTGAAGACTTCATACAGCTGATGTGGATCTAAAGATGTATTCTTCAATCCAGAAAATATAACTAATTTAACTCGTTTTTATCCCATACAGGAAACTTTGCAAATCAAAATTCAATTGATAATTCGATTTAAAAAATGTAGATTCAAGGGAATTCCTTGAAATATCTTATATCTATACCCATAGGTAGACAAATACCTTGATTGGAAGATTCATTGTCAGATCGTAATAATTTTAATTAATATAAGTAGGTATATGGTTAGGACTATAAAGCCTATTTTAATAAATTACAGTACCTATCCAAAAATTAACTACAGATATTTTCATGAAAAAAATAAAACAAATGATGTAGAAAAAAAAACAGAAAAGGCATTTGAAACTGGCTGTTGCCATTTATGTGGAGAATACGTAGTACTTATCTATAGCCCAGGGACGTCATAATATGGACTGACCATTGAAGAGAGAACATTGACTCCAACAACTAAAAAAAGATGAAGAGATTCACGTCTCACATAGCATTTCCATTGTGAAAATTTTGAGATTTGATTTGTCACATATGGTGATGCTGTGAAGCAGTGGCCTAGACTGCATGCCATCCGCAAATGGAATATATGGAAAGTGACGTCATGTCCAGTCGATATTGTCATATCTATGCTTATAGCTTCGAAGCGACATGTTCAATACATAATATACACTAAAGAAGGTGACTACCTGGCTACCTAACCTTCGTTTGTATGTTCAAAATGTAGTGATGATTAACTATTTTTTTGAGTATTTTCTTATTTCGAAGGTACATTTATGTAATAAAAATGGTGTAAATGATGATAGTTCTACTTTGGAATACCCTTCCATTTCACTTAATAATATATGGGCCCTTGGCCATAATAACTAATATGTAAAAATTCTAAAAATCATTGTAAAGAGTTCCATTGTATATATTAATGAAGATAATAAGCACCCAATAATAGTTTTTCCCAAATATCTTTCGTGAAAATGAATCTGACCAAGTATTGAATAAATAACAACTGATTATATTCTATTTCATACAATAAAACCACTTTAATTTTTTTATACCAGCCAAGTGACTTTTCGACCATTCAAAGTGTAGTGAAAATTCGAATAAAAAACCGGAAATAATAAACCTAACTTATGTAATTCTTGTGATTGTCAACATAATTGTAAATTGAATCTTTCTACTAATCACTTATTATAATTTGTCCAAAATTGACAGCTGTTGTTATTACCTAGAAAGCAAAAGAAAGTGAAATTACTTACATCACCTCAACTTGACTATTTTGTTAACCCCATTTTCTCCTCAAATAAGCGTATTATTGTCAATAATTGGAAATAATTATTAAAATTAGTATTTAAACACAGTTTCATGTGATGAACTGATGAATACACCTTCTCGAAAATTAATGAAAGAATGTTGAAATATTCCTTTTTCAATTGATTACACTTCAAAATCAACAATAAAACACTAATCGATATACTTTCAATCGACTATTTTACACTCTCCATTCTTCAAAACTGAAATATGATGTGTTTGAAGGTGATTGACAATGTTTCATGATGAATTTCACTAGTACATTTTCAATGGAACATTTCATATTTTCCGATTTCAGATTACAAAATATGTCACAAATTGCCTCTATTTGGTGGGTGACAATACCAAAATTACTAGTATACAATGAATGTTACACTACAATCGTTGGCCAACCGAAAATCAATGATACAGGTAATTTTCAAACCGTTGAAAAACCATTTTGGAACACTGGCGGTGTTACTTTGCAACATACATTACAGGCTTCCGTTTCTCTCACGCATACGTCAGCGGTAGGCAGGCTCTTCTTCTCTCGTCGGACAAGAAAGAAAAGTTTTTGGCTTTCTACTACTCCATCTTGATACAAAAAACAAGGACGAGGGAATCTTCCAAGGAAAGGAAGGAAGTAATCAGTTTCAAAATAAGTAACTCTATACATGGATGTGTAGATCATGCAAAGAAGTAACTTTCAGACACAAACTGAAAGAAAGTCCTCCTGAAACAGCTACTTTCATATAAACATTGAATTACACGAAAGAAAAAAA